ATATTTTTATTAATTAAATCCTAAATTTCCTAAATAAAGATATTTATACGAAGGTTATTGTTAATGTTCATTATATATCTACGGAGCAATATGTTTATAATAAATTAAAAAAATGCAAGAAATATCAAAATTTTAGTATGCTAGAAACATCAAAATTTACTAGTAATGCAAAATAGACAATAATACAGTGGTTAATGAATAAAATGCTTAGCGTCATATTCTAGATTTTCCTAGTGGCGCAGCTTATTTATGTTGCAAAGCCACTGATCAAAACCATTGCTGAGTATTAAAATTAAAAAATCGGATTTCGACACCACATGACTTTTTGTACGATCTGTTAAAAATTGTACACATTTTTGGCTGCATTTCTTTGAACTTATTTTCTCGAATTTCATTAGAGATATACATTTCTCATTTCAATTAATTCAGTTCTCACTTCGCGGTAAAGCAAACTACATAAAATCTCAAAACATCTTCATTAAAAATAGTAGAATGTCTCCAGTGACAAAATTAAGCCGCGCGTGCATGCAGAAGTGAGCTCCACGTTTTACTCGGTAAAAACGCTGTATTAAAGTAAAACGTGCATAATTTTTATATCAACGAAAAGATCTCGTCGAGAGCTTCAATTTGGTGTCAACTACCCGTGGCTACTCCGAATAGTTCCAGAGATATGGTTTAATATAATGTTATCTCTATTGTCTTTGTGAGAAGTGATCAGCTCAGTAAAGTGCCGCTCAGACGCGAATTTATAGGATTTCTCGGCACCTTTTAGCCATCCAACTTCAATCTACATACCAACAGTAAGCTGGTACTTTCCGCTTGCTTCCGGTACAAGGCTTACCGTGCTTTTTATATGTTTTTATAAAGTATCTCTACAAGTGCCATTTTCATGGTTTAATTTTTTTTTAATAGCTCTTCTTCTACTGGGAGTGTCAGCGTTTTAACAGTAAAAAGGTAGGTCACTATATTATCTACATTTTGATGTGCATCTTAGATTTTTTGCTACAATAGTTCTAATTTTATTAACTGATTTCTATGTTTTTACGCGTCTGCATTTAATTTTTCTCCCTGCCGACTCCCTTCTTCGTTCCTTGAGGAAGAAACGGCGCAGAATGTCTACTTGGATCAACCCCCCCCCGCAACAATAACAACCTAACCTTGAAAGATCATCTCAGAGTAATGTCTACTTTGGGATTGCGCTAGTACATCTTCCCACGTGCTACTGTTTATTTACAGAACTTAGAACTTTTTTAATGTCGCACGTCATTACCATTTTCTGAATACAGTTCTTTCTCAACAATAAGCACTTTTCCTGTAGCACATTCACTGCTAATTTTTGAACTGTTTATTTATTTATTATTATTATTTCCCTTCTTTTAATTTTTGCAATTCTTGTTTTTACGATCTCTAATTTTTTTAAAGCATAGTGCATAGTATTTTGCTGTTGCAATCTAATATTGCACAATTTTCTTTTTCAATTTAATTTATGATAGTTAGTACCAACATATAAGTAGTGTAATCATCATTCATTATTGTGTATCTATTTACTTTTGTTTCTTATATCACTTGAGTGTATTCTGTGTATATGTAAAGTAAGTTAAATTATGTGTATTATGTGCAATTCAGATAACAGTGCTCTGTTATCTGTTATTTTCGCTGGTCTCGTGATAATTTCGCAACACAAGCACATTTAAGCACGCTTTGTTAAATATTTTGATACCTAGTTTCATAGTTTTTTGTGTATTAATTTATTTTTACCCCCTTTATATGATATATGTATGTATATACGCATATCACTTACTGTTGTTAGTTTCTCAGCATTTAACTTACTGTAGTAATAAGCTACAAGCAATTATAGGAACAAAATAATAGTGGTTTTGTTCCTATAAATGCTGCTGTCGGCTCTCACCACAGCTCTCCATATTAGTAGTACCAGTATTTACCTGAAGCCATATTTGGCCACAGTACTTAATACATTCAGCTTCAGATTTCTTTGATTAGGGAGTATCGTTTTTGCTACAACTGTGTACTAAGCAGTGCTATTTTCCCATTTTTAAAGGGGACACTCAATACCTCTTCTACTTCAGGCAAAGATATTACTACCTTGATTACTCCCGACAATCCATCGTCTATGTCCTCAAGATTGGAGAAAATTAACGCAATTACGGAGGATATTAGGGAGCACTTTGCAGTCTGCAGGATCAGATCGAGGCTTAAGATTGCGAATCACGAGAAATTAGAGGATTTTATTCCTGAGATTGTGAATTTAGCCTCACAGCAAGACATCCTCATAGCTAACCAATAGGGGCAAATTCTGGAACTAACAAGACATTTAAATTTGCAACGACAGTCCTTAGCATCGGTAGCAGCAACCGTGGAAGTAGCAGCAACTTCACCAGCAAAGCAAGCAGAGGACAGGCAGCAGCGGGAAGAAGCAGCAGCAAACGATGGCTTTACCGTTGTGGTTAATAGACTCAGAAGACTAAAACAAATTTCTCCAGCCACAAAGCTTTCTGACCACGTACTCCTTGTTAAAAGTAAAGACACGAGTCGCACTACTGAAAGAGTTCAGAAGCAGCTAGTAAATAGTATTAAGCCTAAGAAAGTCGGGATTAACGTCGTCCAAGTAAGGCCTACGCGCTCGCAGGAACTACTCATCAGGTGTAATGAGAAGACAGACTTGGACAAACTCAGGACCGCTATCAGTGAAATTCCGGAATTAGATAACTCATTAAGTGTAATAGTGCCCAGACCACCTAGGCGTACCATAATAGTCTTTGGAGTGCCACAGGACAGTACAACTACAGATATCACAGAGGCTTTCTCCGACTTGTTCCCAAGTAACACGAAAGAGTTTATATTCCCTATTCGTTCCTACCCAAAAGAGGATAAACCCTGTTATTGGCTAGTGGGTTGTGCAAGGAAACAGGCCGAAGAGTTATTATAAAAGAAAAGAATCTACATTGGACTTTGCGCCTGAAATTTTAAAGAATGTCTCCAAGTGAATCGTTGTTACAACTGCCAAGAATTTGGGCACTTTAGACGTTACTGCAAGTCGGATACAGCCTGCTCCAAGTGTGGTAAAGGTCACCTGATACAAAAGTGTGACTCAGTTACCATCAATTGTGTCAACTGCAGTCTCGCGAACGAGAAGACAGGTAGCACCTTCGACACACAAAAAATTCAACAACAGTATCACAAAATTGCTTAAAAGCAACATACATTTAGAATTTCCGATAGACAATATCCCGCGATAACAATGCTATTTTCCACACAGTGTTGCCATTGCTCGCTTTGAAATCGTTGAATTTGTTAATCAAAAATTCGTTAAAATTTTACAAACTATGAAATAGATAATAAAACGGATTCGAATTTCGGGCGTCCAGGTGCCCATGTTCGATGGAGGATTGCATTATTTAAAAATTGATGGCTCTACGTACCGTCGTTTTTTTACAATACGAGAAACATACATACACTCATGTAGATTTTTCATAATTTAATACCTTTAAATATAATACAGGGCGATAATATTTGGTTTCAACAATTCAAAAAGTGAAACGGACATTTATAATGAAGCAACGCAATATGGCGTTTCGAAACTAAGAGCGTTTCGAAACTAAGAGCGTTTCGAAACTAAGAGCGCTTCTGGTCTACCACCCCTTTGGGCTAAAACGTTTTAGGTTTCCTGTATAATAGAAAATGTGACATAATTAAAAATAAAAAAGTTCTTACCGGATAATAGTGATAGTTACTCAAATAAATTACGAATCATTTCATATACAGTGAATAACTCATAAGTTCTATAAGATATTTCTCCCACTTTCCTAGCGAGCCTTCGTAGAGTAGTGGTCAGCACACTAAGCAGGTATTTCAGAATTGCGTAGTTCGATTCCCGGCGAAGGCGTTCCTACTTTTTCATCTCTATTGCTTCCAAAAAATTACCTAATGTCTCTACAGTGGCGCCCTAACTAAAAGGGTGTTGGATGAGGTTTCTCCACACCCAGGATTTGGCGATTGGGTTAAAAAAACTCTAGTCGCTCTTTAAAAAGGGGAGTATATAAGGTATTTCTCCCACGCTAGCGTGCCTTCGTGATTTAGTGTTCTGCACGCTGAGCCGGTATTCCAGAGGTCTGTGGTTCGATTTCCGGCGAAGGCGTTGCTAATTTTTCATCTTGCCTGCTGCCAAAAATACCTAATGTCTCTACAGTTCAATCAGAGTCTCTTTATTTTGCGTTATGCTATGGTAAGTTATATTAATATGTAATTAAAGATCTTTGTTAAAATGTAAATTTTCATCATGTAGATACATTTACACCCGTATACTTAAATAAGCGCACTCACTTCAAACAATGAGCTAAATGATTTTAATCTCGTAGATAAAATTCTCTGTCGATAATTAACGGTGTACCGTAGAAAAGTCATAAGGTTTATTTTATTACGTTATTCAAATTTCTAATAATTTGCATGATTTATAAAAGTTTAATGATTTAATAAAAGAGACGAATGAAGATGCATATCCATGTCCCTAATTATGTCAGATATAAATTACGATGTAAAGAAAGAAAATTGGAAATCTGGTACTTACTCTTCTTATAAAATATTCTAGAATATTTTATCTTTGTCTGAGCTAATCTTATTTAATGGTAATGTATGAAACATAGCTTAATAGTTCATACTAAGAAATGAGATTGTTCATCATTTGTAATTACTAATAATTAAATGAGTATAAAAAGTAATAATAACTTTTAATCCTCGACATGCAGGAATATATACGAGTATTTCTTTGAATTATTTCCATTGATTTCACTGATTTATTCATAATATGAAAATCAATTTATTATATCATATTTTTCGCTGGAATTTGTTCAAATTTAGTGGAATGTATAATTTAGTTTTGAAAGACCATAATTTTTAAGATGACAGCTAGAATAATTATGTCACTTACCTTTTCAAAGTGGATACCAAGTAGGAAATCATTTCAAAGCTCAGTTCTAAAGGTATCAACATGTTATCGATATAATGTGCTAAATTTTCAGTGAATTAACCGGATATGTTTCCGAAAATTCATAAATGATAGTGAGTACATTAGGACGAGCTACAAAACGATGAATATAATAACTTCTAAAAGATCAAATATATTGTTGCGTGCGTACGGGTTCGTTATGAAATGAATGCACAAGTCCGATGAAAAATGAACAAAATTTATTATTATAACAACAAAAATGCTTACGTTTTCTCCGATATTCGTGCAGTATTACAATATCTCACAGTAGTTATCTTTTAACTACTCAAACGTTCAAGAGAACTTAATTCAAAACAGCTAAAGAAAGCTAATCCGCGAATTTGCTACATTCAACAAGAGCAGTTTTCTAAACAAACTCTTAAAACAACGACAAACTAACTGACTGACTACTGAATTGAGAGGTTTTCCTCCTTTTTATATGATTATAAATAGCACGCGCGCGAATTTTCTGGGACTTTCAGGAAATCAAAAAGAGATATTTATTTATTAAATGTTAAATGCATGTGCTCTTGTATTTTTAATTTCCCGGCTTAGCTTTCCTTTAACATTCATCACGCGCTGCATTGCCCGGGAAATAAAATAATTTTATTTATAATTCTACAAACATTAACTAATTAAATACCAAATCCGTAACACTGCCCCCTTCCCAAGGACTGTACGTCCCGGGCAGTACAATCCCTAGACAGGAAGCCAAACTTGCAATTAAAGGCATAAATGCAATAATAAGCATAGCATTACAATAACGAAAAAAATGAACAATAAATGCAATCAGTCATATCAAATACTAAATACAAATCAAATCAAATACACATTTAGAAACAAAAAGGACCATGGTCTTACACTATTTACAATTATTTACACTACGTACTATGGTCTTACACTATTTACAATTATTTACACTACGTACTATGGCCATAGTAATGAACTAACC